GAAAAAGAAGTCACATTTCTCCTATAAAAACTGAGTTGATGTATCATATAATTTTCATGCCTTATATGATGTAAAAGAAGAAAGAAAAAATTTACCAATTTTAGGGCATCAAGATATGCATTTGTAGCAGATGTTGGAGACCAATCCATAAAAACCCTGCCTGGAAATGTAAAGACTTTGGCAAAGAGATGCAGCAATGAAGAAGGAAAAAACTTATGTAAAAGTAGTTTGCAAGTTATCTTTTGATATCAGAAACTGGAGGCATTTAAAGGGATTCACAACAAATCTCAGTGGTCTGTATTTGGGCCAAATTTTCCGGTAATTACGCAATATTCTTGGCCTCAAATGAATTGATAAGTCAACTAGAATTCCATAAAAGACTGAGTTTTAGGGTCTTATCTATAATACAAATTTGACATTATTTCCTAATATACTGATTAATTTTAAAAATTTGAAAATTAATGTAAATTCCGTTAATAATTACTACAACTACAATCTATTATCACAATAATTACAAAATCAAATAGACAACTAACACAAAAACTCATGAATTACGGACCAATATTTTTAGCCTTTGCTTTCTTTCTTTCTCCCCGCCAAATCAATCTCAGGTATCATACTAGAATTTTTCAAATGCCAAGAGAATTTTGGATTCTGAATTTATGCGGTGCCAGAAACCCACCCGTTGGAGTATTTTTAAGAGATTTATATTGAGAAATGGAGAAAAATATGCAAGCAGAAATTTTGTTTACCTTTGAAGTTGGTGTGAATAAGAACCAGCCATTATCTACATTGTACATTTCTGCTTTGTTAGCCGACAGAGTTTATTGCTTACACTTCGTCATCTGGCTGTTGGGCTACTTAGAAACCATAAGAATAGTTGAGTTTCTTTGTCGGGAAAATGTGTTGGAACTTGGAAACCATTTTGTGGTTGGAAAAATGGAAGCTAATTATATATAGCAGCACATAATAGATCCTACTAAAATGGGCTCTATATTCTTACCCTTAATCGAAGGTATGATACGAACACCTAAATGAAGGCAATGTTATTCTTAATAGAATAATGCTATCTAGCTCGTTTTGTCTATATGGTAATATATAATAGATCCTATTAAATTAACTCTAAATCCTAATATTTAATTGATAATATGATTTATTTCCTCTAATTTAGTCTTATTCTCTAAAAACGTATTTTTCCTCAAATTCATTTTCAGTCACACATTCTTCTAGTAAAATAATTTTACATTTAAAACTCAAAAAAAAAATTCCTAATTTTTAATCACGCATTCTTGAGAAAACTACTTTTACAAAACTCATTTTTCACATAAAATAAGACTCAAAGAGAGCCTTAATTCACGTGCTAACACCTAAACACAACTAATATTAAATAGAGTTACTATTTTAAATAAGATATTAGTATTGATGATTTTTTTTTTTTAATTCAACATAATAATTTTCAATTTTTATTTACATTATAGCGTATATAAGCAGACAACCAAAATTGAGATATACGAGAGGGACATATTAACCTTGGTTATAAGTAGACTTAAATTACAACAGACAAACAAAGAAGTTTTAACCTCTAAAAAATCATCAGAGTCGCTTCTCGTCTTTCAATTCACTTTAACGTTCTTTTATCTGTTAGGGTCCGTTTAATTGCAAAAATGAAATTTGGATGAAAAAAAAAAATTCAGGAAATTGTTTTACTGTGAATTGTCAGTTATTATGTTTGCTTGGTATAATTTTTTCCACGCGAAAAATGTTGAAATAAAAGTATTCTTTTAATTTTCGTTTTGCTTTATTTTACATGATAATTATCAATTAAAGGGATAAAATTTACTAATATTGGGAATAGAATTTATTTCTATTGCATAGAACCCGCACCCGAGCTTCGACTATCCTGAGGGAAACTTCGAAGGAACGAGCTACTAGATGGTTCGATTAATCTTTCGCCCCTATACTCAAGTTAAATGAACAATTTGCACATCAGTATCGTTGCGGGCCAAAAAAAAAATGAAGAAGACAACAACGCAAAAAATATCTATCTTTTGGTGTTCGTTTTGCTTCGTTTTACATGGAAATTGTTAATTAAAGGATTTTTTTTTTTTAACTATTAAGGATAGAATTTGCTTCTGTTGCTAAAAAAAAAAAAAAAAAAAAAAAAAAAAAGACCAATTCCCCACCATATTGAAAACCAAGAAAATTGCCCCTTGTCCAAGAAAATGAATTCCATGAAAAAGAAATGCGATCAAGCACCAAAAAAATTGGAAAATGAAAATTTCCATGGAATTTAAACCCTATCAAACAGGGCCTTAGTCTAGTTCACTCGAAAAATTAATGATTCGTTTTTCCATGTGATCAAAAACGTTAATTTTTAAATGAAAAATCAATGACAAGCAAAAATAACATCATAACTATTAAAAAGTTATAGAATTTAGTGACAGTGGAAAATCAGCATCAGTATTGTGGTAAGCAGAAAAGGTAGCAGTGGGTGGTGATTTATGGAATGGACACCTCTATGTACATAAATTAGGTACATCAAGCACAATCGTGATTTATTAGTTGAAAATCTACGAATTAGAGTGATAATCGACAGCAGTAATTGCTGTGAGTAGCGTACAGTTGCAATAGCACTAAAAGAATGAACTTGCGGAAAGAATATTGAGAGAATCATCAAGGAATTAAAGCTCGAAAAGATGAAATAATAAAAAGGGGAGGAAGGAGGAGAAATTCTCGTTTATTTCGACCAAGCCACTGAATCAATCTCTGATTGAGCAGCCCTGTACAACTCCAGTCTCTTTGCAAGGGAGACACGACGCTGCATGATCGCTGGATCCTCGTCCAACAGTGTACCCAACTGTCTTCCCTGTAAACCATGCACAGAATTTATATATTATAGAACTTCTTCTTGCTCCTATAATGTTCCTGATCCAACATATATGCGCTCATGCTTATGTAAAAGTATATAGGGGATGTAATTATTACCTCTTTTTTGCCCAACTCGGTGAAGAAGTGATCGAGTAAGCTGCGTTTTGCCTCACGGACTTGACAATGTACAATAGACTTTGGAATTGAGTTCCTCAGACTTCCACAGACCATATTAACGTAAGACAAAACTGTTGATCCTGTGCTCATGAGGCAAGATGCAAGAGACTCATTTAAGAAATTACAACACTCGAAGATCTTAAAACCACAGGGAAAGAAATGCTAATAGAAACTTACCAATTCGTCGAAGATATGAATCATTGTATCGATCAAAGATTGAATGAGTTGGATTTCCACCCTTTTCAACATCTTGAGGAAGCTTCCTGAAAAAATCTACAGTTAAGTAGCTATATTCCATTTCTACTAGCTGTATTGTCGCTCTCTTGCTTTCGTCCCTCATTCTGTCTAATGATTCAACAGCTGCATTCCCGACCTCCACTCGGAGAGAGGGATACTGCTTCAGCTCCTGAACACAATAAGGAAGACATAAAAGTTAATTTAACAACTCTAATGATTGAACTTTTTTAGAAGTCACATTCTTTTAACATTTTTAGTTCAAAAACATACTTTTTTGAAACTTGAAAGTCTTCAACTTACTTTCAACAAAAGTGCTTCTACAGTTTTGAATTAAGCCAGCCAAACATGCTCTATATCGTGAGCATGTAATAGGATAATTTTTCCATCAATTATTTACAGATATTTCCAACGACTTCCTCTTTTCTTCTAATTCGAAAGGGGAAGGGGAAGGGGAAGGGGTATGTTGGGGGACATGCAGATAGTATGCATGTTGTTTAATTTTCCTATTTCCATCCAGTTCCTCTTTTCTTTTTTATTTTCGAAGGTGGGAAGGGAAGTTAGGGGATGCAGGCAGATATTGATCATGTAGTATCAGAAATAGCCCCTGTTTGGTTCAGTTAGAAAGTAAATTAAAATCTAAGTCTAAGTCAACGATTAATTCTAACCATACATTTTAAGGGATTGGCAACTTTGCAACCATGCATTCTATTAACTTTGGATAAAGATATTTGTACTCACACATTTGTACAAAATATTTTACTCACTTTCACATACACTTGGGCCCCACATGAAATAAAAAATGCCAACATGTGGCCCCTACCCTCCCATTGTGAGTGTAAGTAAACCATTTTGTATAAAAGTGTGTGTACATCTAGCACTCTCTATCTATTTTTATCAAAATTGACTAAAAAAGATTTTATCTAAACCAAACAGGGGCATAAGAATAAACTGAACAATAATTTCAAAGTCGTAACAGAATTCAGAAATCCCAAAGCTTGTGACATCCAAGACACTTCATTGCATCTACGTATATTATGAATTAAATCAAATAAATGATGCTTAATAGAAAAAGAAAACAGGAAAAGGACTTACAGAAGTCTCACGAATTGACTTGTGGACCAGTTCCTTCAGTATTCCATGAACCTAAAAGAAGAAAAAATTAGGCGATTAGCATGCATATTCTGTCCATTTCACCAATAAACATTGTGATCAACACTGCTGTTCAAACGATGTATTCAGCTCCTGCGCCCAAAAAGGCATCGTCTCTCTCTATGTAAGAATCATCATCAACAAGTCGACTTTCATGCTGTTGTCTGAGATAGTACTCAAATATTCATATTGTTTGTCAATCAAGTAGCCCATATCTCATGGTTTATATAGGTAAAGAATAGTTAATCTTACTGAAGAAAAGGGGCTGTAAGAAGATGTGAAAAAGGATTCAAATTCAATATCGCAGAAAAACATTACCCTTTTTCTTTTCTTTTGAGATCAAAAGGCTTTACATTCCTTACGAATCAATACAGTTAATAAAAATAATTTATTTTCCAGTGTAACGAAAATACATACTGCATCAACAGCTGCCTCAGCAGGACCTTTAATAGTAACCAAAGCAGTTTCAATGAGACGCCGGTAACCTTGCTCGGGAGCTATAAGATGAGGCTGATATCCGTCAGCCTCAGTTATTAATTTCCGCACATTTTCCATTGCAAGATGCTTGTCAAACTGTAACCGCTTCAATGCAGCAGGGAGTTGGTTATCGAAGACATTATATATCTTATCTCCACCTGGTCGACTATTACAAGGTAATCAAATGAAGATTAGATTGGATTATAACATTAAATAAACTGTCACTAAACACCCTCAGAGACAATGATACCAAAACTCCCTAATTCACACCTTCCATCAAGATGTTCTTTAAATATTCCATCAAAAACACGACAGATTTCCATAACCATGTACAGCTTTCCCTGCATCAATAATTTAGGGTTAAAGATTAAAGTTCTTCATGCAGTGAGGATGGCTGAAGAGCAAACAGAACATATTTAACTTTAAAACAAGCATAAAAGAAAGCATACAGGAAAAACACATGAAAGCCAGAAAAGAATCGAGCAAGTAGCATGAGCAGCAATGTATGGACTGATAGATTTAATTAAAAAGACAAACACCTCAAGTGACCATGATCACAAGTTTTGAGATGGCAGTAAATGAAAAAATAATAACAATAATAACTAAATAAATAAATAACTTACTCCAGCATCTGTAGCGATGGGCTTTCCCAGACGACTCAACTCGGATTCTAGCTCGATAATAGTTTTGTTAATAAGTGACTGAAGTCCTGGAATTCGAGATTTGATGACAGTTTCCAAATGCTAGAACATAAAGGAGGGAAGTCAAAAACATCAAAAAAATAACTGTAATTAGAAAACTTAATTGTGAGAAAATGACCAGCAACAAATAAATCAATCAACAAAGAAAGATGCAATTCATAAGTCTACTTATGCAGAACCAACAAATGTGGACCCCATCAAACAAAACCTTAGATTGCAATCAGATAAAGCGTGTTTCTTTGAACAGTAAAAAAAATATGAGACAGCTTGATGCTTTGATGACCTCTGAATTTTTGGCTGGTTACAGAAGGGAAAACTCAAAAGCTTAGCAAAGTTATCAATTTAAAATGTTCCCCAACATCATATTTCCCAACTCAATTTTCAAAATATAGTTTTCAAGAAAATGTTTTAGGGCTTGTCCGATAGTAATTTTAAGAATCAATTTTTTGACCGTTAGGATAAAAGTGGGAGCCACCCGTAAGAGAAGAAGTCAAAAGCTATGGCTGGAATAGTGAAATAACGATCAAAAAATCAATTTTTTGGAGGGAAAAATCACTCCCAAATGGGGCCTTAATTTTCATAAGCTTCTCATTGAACTATAATTAAAAAGAAATATATATTGCATGATAATTGCTTACTTTGGAAAGAACTTTCCCCAAATGCTCAGAACCCATTCTGTGGGCAAGATGTTTATACTCTGATGTCTGAGCAAAATACTCCCGCTCTCGACGTCTAGCAGCAATCATGTCAACATTTTTGTTAATATCTTGTTGAGAGCGATTAACAACACCTATCCATGGAAACTGCAGCTTATATGCTCTTCCTTCTAAGATCTGATAATCCCAAATACAAGTCAGGAACTATAACCCTTCCATCCTTGTTTTTAAAAAATAAAATAAAAATAAAAATCTACCCATATCATTAGATAAAACAAAAATCCAAAATCAACTCAATCAAATATCATTTCCAAAACAGACACACAAGCCAAAAATGGTGAAAATAAACATGTTTGTAGCCAGAAGATTGTTTACTTCAGTTTTAAAAAAAAAGGTGCTGTTGTGTAAAGTACAGACTTTTAAGAAAGTAAATTTTTTAACGAAAAATCTCCCAGAGATAATAACTATTATGTTTAGACGAACATGCTCTAACTAGTTAAGAAGTTTAAAAAAGTGAGGGAGCTTTGCAACATCTGATTCTAGATTGCAAATTCAGAATGCACAAAGTTGATTCAAAATACGCGGAAGAGTTAAATGCTTTTGAGATATTGCACTTATTTTACAAAATGGCTGCATGAAGAGGCATCCAGTTTTTATATCTAATGGGGAATCCATTCGTGTTAGTAAATGTACAAAAATCCCAGTAAAGAAGACTCTAAAATACATAGTATAATCAATCATAGGACTCGAAATCTTTTCCCTCTCCATCAGTGTTATCATATTAGGAGTCTGTTTAGGAGTGATTTTGAGAATTGATTTTTTGACCATTAGGAGAAAAGTGAGGTCCACTATTGTATAAAGTTAGACATAATTAATTAATGAAGAAAAATGTAGAAAATAATTTCCTAATATTAAGCTTGGAGCTTAAATAACTCACTCAGAACATTATTTAAAGGATTACGTGGTATGATGAGATTAAATATATTCTCTATTGTATAGTGTAAGAAGCACATGCACTATTACAAACCAGTCATATATACAACATATTTCATTGGATTCATATTCATTAAATTTACAAGGAAATAGCAGTGGCAAGCCAATTAATACAATGAACTATATATACACACACACACACACACACAAAAAAAAAAAGGAAATATAGAAGTATTTCCATTTATTCAAAAAAAAAAAAAAAAAATCCCTAAAAATCTGTAACATCAGAGCAGGACCCTGCAAAGTTTCAACAGCATAAAGAAGGCAAAGGAGGACATTGAGCAACAAAAGTTTACAATATTTTTGGGCAAACCAAAGATACGTCAGGAAAACCAACACCTTTCCATAAAGAATTTCTATAAAAATTATTCTTAAATGAAGAAGAATATCTAGCCCATCGCCACACACCTAACCACTCAAATCCATGCACTATTCTTACGCTCGCAGCAAAAGCTTTGCAAACATTGGAGTTAAACTAGGAAAATAAGTTTTCAAATCCATAATCATGTATAGTTGTCAAAATACTTAAATTGTAAAACTCACAATGTTTCTGAACTTGGCAAACCAATTAGAAAAGAATAGTGTATTTATCTAAATGTCCGTAAATATATTTCATATGATTTAGTTTGTATGGTGGGGAAATTGCAGTCAGAGCCTTGTTTTAAATGAACAAACATCCATTTCATAATGTTAAAAAGCACTTACAGCATCGTTCTCCATCTTTTCTGGAAGTTGTGAGAACTTAAAAACTTCTAATATTTTTCGATCTCATAGTTTGTAAAAACACCACAGTTCACACAAGACAACCCACCGTTTGTTGAGCAAACAGAACTAAAAGCCAGAACCATATTAAAGACATAATAAACACTCAAATGCATACTCATTGCTTTCTTGGGGTATGACTAGAGTCTTACCTTTCGGGTCTACTTCACGTGAAATCTTGATTGCATCTGACGTTGCAAGATCTTGGTTGGCAGGAGATATAGCCAAAATAATACTGTTAGGCTGCAGAGAATATTTTAGTTTGCATCACGGCCAGAGGGAGTATTTTTTATTCATAAATCTTCCACAATGCTTTCACAACTTAAAAGCATATACAGAGAGCAAGTTCAAAGAAACCTCAAAGATTAAAATACCTTTTCAATATAAGAGCGGACCATGTTATCAATGTCCTGCACAATGCTTTCAGGTTGGCCCTCTAAAATAAGCCAGTAGATTATCAACCTGGTTGTATTCTCAAGTAAAATGTCCAAAGGAAACAGATACCCAAAAAAGGCAATAAACCAGGAGATGATAAACTCACCAACAGCCACTTTTGTAAGTCCAGGAAGATCAATCAATGTCAGATTCACAACTGTAGTCATCAGAAATATGCAAATCATTTATGAGTATGAAGAGAGGCACTTAGAGAAAATTCGTTTTCACTCATTCAGGAACTAAGACTTCAAAGAAGCAATAGAAGAAATTAGAGGCTCTGAAAGCAAATCTTCATAAGCAAAAAATTAAAAAAGATTAAAAAGGCCGCTAAATTCAACTTTTAGACAAAAATAAAGCTACAAATGGCTAACCCAATTAGCAAGAAGTGAGCATCACAGTAGGAGCACTCAAAGCTCTATCTAGTAAATGGAATTTATGAATGTTCCAACAAATGGACTCTCTTCCAGCAATTCACTAATCCTAATTCATCTTTTACCCACTTTACCCTCATCTTCAACATCAACTCCTAAGTAATCTATGTTCCTTGTGTGGAAGGTTATCTTCCTCGTTTTGTTTGCTTCTCCCTTTTATTCCTTCTCTTGCAAAAGGGGTGTGAGGAAGGGGGGTGGGGTTTTGTTCACTGCAAGTCTGCCACTAAAATATTAGACTTTGGAATGGTTGGCGTCACTATGTCCATAACCATTTTTTTAACAATTCTTGCATCAAAGAAATTCCTGATCCTCAAATTTCATTGACAACAATAAACACGCCAATACTTCAGTTTAAATTAGCCGAATTTTCTATGTATATACAATTAAATTTGCAGCAATTACATACGACGAGTAATCCTTCCTATCTTACCATTAGGGGAGTAAATGCCGAGATAAATTGGAACAGTAGAAATTGCTTTTGAGCGGCCAGTCTCTCGATCAGTCTCATCAGATATCTCTTTTCTGACAGCAGCTACAAAAAATATACTAGAGATTTGGTATTCAAAACTCACCAAAAAAACAAAAAACAAAAAAATTGGAAAACAAGAAATATAATTTGAGAAAGATTTAAACAATTGGTGTTCAATAATAGTAATAACTTGGCTGAACCAAGACCAACAATGATATGCTAATTCTGACAAGTAGAAGTCTAAAAGAACATATGATGTAACATCAGACCAAAGCAGCAGTTACAATTAGTCATATGTTACCATCGTTGGATACACGTATGTAACTACTTACCAAAATCAGTGAACCTTTTTCTTGGAAGATGTCCAAACTCTGCATATTCTCTACCTTCCTCAATCCGATGAAGCTGTAGGACAAGAGGACGTCGGGTAACAATGCCTGAAGATGATATGTGAAAATAAATTTGAATAGTTATAGGCACATATTTTTGAAGGATGACACTTTCATAAAAATATAATCACAAAACGCATATGTTGATATAGTAGTTGAGTTATTGAAAGCACTAATCACCAGATCCACGAGGTAAAAAGTCCTTTCCCACAATGCTCTCAAGCACTGAAGACTTTCCAGAACTCTACAAAACATTTAAGTGTAGGGATCAGTTACCACAAAATGCTAATGATTAAGGGAACAAAACTATCAAACAAAGAACATTTTATGAAGAAAAGTACAATATAGTTAATGGAAAAAAACATATCACGTTAATAAGCACTACTTATAGTGCAAACTACACTTTTGCATTAGCACAGCATCCAATGTGGGGTACAAAATGGCAGACCTACACCAGGAGTTCATAAGTCCATTTGATATAAAAGAGAAACAAGAAGTGTTAAAGATGAGATTTAAATGAATATATGTGACCTTCAGCTTAAACTTTTAATGAAATTTAACATATGATGGCAGCCAAAAGTCTTCAATCAGCCACAATTGTAAAAGGTGTTGCAGCTAGAACATGTTCATACATTGAGAGAATTGTTGGGGAACAGTTCACTACAAATATGGATGAAGATTATAGGTAACTCTGGACTAACGGAAAGAAAATAGAGAAAGTGGGATCTTCTAGTATATGAAGGAATTTGTCTTTTTATTGATATTGTAATCTCATTAGTTGAGAAATAGTGGAAGTTAAGTTGTATTTTGGTCCAGTGATTTTCCCTTTATATTGGACTGTATCACATTAAGTGCTTATTTAGTGGCGATTTTAAGCCAATTAAAATCAAATTTTTGTCCGTTATTTCATTATTTCAGTCGTCATTTTTTAATTTTTCTCTCACAAGTAAGATCTACTTTATCTCTAACGTTCAAAAAATCAATTCTCAAAATATCTACCAAACAAGCTCTAAATTGGAATCTCTCGCCTTCAATCTATTTTCTTTGTTGGCTTTGTTAGAATCCCATTTCAATCACATAAAGAAGTAAACATCTTTTCGCTCCATATCGCTAGCTGGCAATTGTTCTGCAATACAAGTACATAGGAATCAAGAATCTAGCCAATAGGTATAGGGAAAAGGAGAGAGAAATAAAAAGTTCTAGAAAAATTAAATAATAGCAGAGTAAGATACAGTTTTAGGACTCTTGGTACTCTTTGAAAATTAAAAATGGACGTAGAACAAAGCTTGATAAACGTGCTAAGTGAATAAATTTCAAATTTTCGAATTTTCAAATAAACACACTTCAATTAGGAACAATTTAAGCGCAGATCTGAACCACTTAATAAATGAAAAGAGTAGACGAATATCTAGGAAAAATTACATTTTACCTTACATGCATTATCCCAAGGATATAAATATTTCAAATTAAAACAAAATTACAAAAAATTAAGAAATCGCTAGATTTTCAGACCTGACCACCGACGACGGCGATTGAAGGCAAGGCGTCCCAGAGGGTGGGCAATGCGCTCTCATCGCCATGATCTCCGAGTGCAGTGCACGCTCTCTGCAGTCTGTTCACCAATGCTATGAGATTCTCCATTATCGTTTCCTTCCTCAACCAATCTCCGAGTCAAGGATCGGCGGCGAGTTACGTCGATGATTCACTCACTAAAAATTAACAATATGTACCTGAAAAATCCAATACACCTGATTTCGATCTGATTTTTTATGGAATTAATTAATGTATTGGAAGAATATATAGAGAGAGAAAGAAGAGTGAGAGAGAGTGTCTGCAAATTGGAAAGTATGAATTTGAGGAAATTTGAAAGAAGAATCGTGTTAGGGGCCGTTGGGGAATGGGTCCCCAAAAAAAAAAGTGTGAAATGTTTGGCTTCAATAGTTTTGACATATTCTCAATCAAATCAATAATTTTATTTTATTTTTAATCAAACCATTTTATTTTAAACCAAGACCTATCTAGCAATATAAAAATAATAAATATAGCCCCGTGTGATTCCTATAAATTTAAGAATAAAAATAAAAAATATAGCCATTATGAAATCAACACAAGATATCGAAAGTCAAATATTTAAGTGTAGGGATCACTTATAACAAAATGCTAATGATTAAGGGAACAAAACTATCAAACAAAGAACGTTTTATGAAGAAAAGTACAATATAATTAGCGCCCAATTGTTTCCTGTGAGATCGTCGTTTCTTCATGTGAAGCACCCTTCGACTATGTATTCGAATTATAATTAAATCCTGTACGTTGTTGAAATAGGCTAACTTATGCCCTTAGCCTAGAGCATCTTCCAATCTTAACATTCATGAAATTCAATCTTGTTTATCTATAATGATTATACTATTTTATTTTCTTTATGAAGTTTGTCTTCAAATCTTTTATATAGAGATATTGAAAACCCCAATGTAATGAACTAACTTTTAATTTGAAAATTGCGTTCCCATTATTTCAACCATCTATCTTTGAAGTAAGAAGCAATTCATCTTTTAAGAAAAAACTCTGAGTCAGTCAAAGTGTTAGAAAGTGAAGCTCTCAACTTTAGTTAAAGAAACACTGACTTTGATTGTGAGTTCATTGATCTTTGCTCGATTTTACTTTCATGCCTTGGTAATTTGTATTCAGCTAGCTAAAATCTGTTTAAATCTTGTTCTTGTGTTCGAATGTCACCTTCCCCATTGGTGCTTTCAAATTTGGCCTGCAATTTTGTTATGTTCTTACAAATCCAAGATATTTCTTGCTGCAAAGTAGTCAAATTTACTTTCCCCCTCTTTTTAAAATTTGAATTGCTTACTCCTTTCTGCCAAAGTTCAGGCTGGTCAAAGCCTTCTACAGTAGCTGAATATTACCTTTCTGGGTATAGTTCTGGAAAATTTCAAAATCTGTTTCCCTCCTAGAGCAGATTTTTATTTACCCAGATTTTTTTAGATTTATATTTACCCGATTTCTTTACTCCCTTGTCACTCAATACTGTGTGTTTCAAGCTGTGATTCTAACTGTGGATCGAGTTTGCTCAGTTTTGCTCAAGTATTTCAACTTGGGGTCACATTTCTGCCTCCTCGCCTAGGTTTCTTCTTCTTGCAGACGATTCAGTGTAGTTCTGGCCAACTGTTCTTATCTTGTTCCTAGCTGGAAAATCGAATAACTAGAACTCAAGGTTTCCAGTCAAGTGTCAGCTTGTTCCAGCCTGCTCGTTGCAGCTTAACGTGGGAATGCCCCTTCATCCCAAGTCTTGTCCCCTAAAGATGATGCTTAAAATTTGAAAAAGGTTCAGCTCAATGAAACACAACTACATAGGAATCAAGAATCTAGCCAATGGGTATAGGGAAAAGGAGAGAGAAATAAAAAGTTCTAGAAAAATTAAATAATAGCAGAGTAAGATACAGTTTTAGGACTCTTGGTACTCTTTGAAAATTAAAAATGGACGTAGAACAAAGCTTGATAAACGTGCTAAGTGAATAAATTTCAAATTTTCGAATTTTCAAATAAACACACTTCAATTAGGAACAATTTAAGCGCAGATCTGAACCACTTAATAAATGAAAAGAGTAGACGAATATCTAGGAAAAATTACATTTTACCTTACATGCATTATCCCAAGGATATAAATATTTCAAATTAAAACAAAATTACAAAAAATTTAGAAATCACTAGATTTTCAGACCTGACCACCGACGACGGCGATTGAAGGCAAGGCGTCCCAGAGGGTGGGCAATGCGCTCTCATCGCCATGATCTCCGAGTGCAGTGCACGCTCTCTGCAGTCTGTTCACCAATGCTATGAGATTCTCCATTATCGTTTCCTTCCTCAACCAATCTCCGAGTCAAGGATCGGCGGCGAGTTACGTCGATGATTCACTCACTAAAAATTAACAATATGTACCTGAAAAATCCAATACACCTGATTTCGATCTGATTTTTTATGGAATTAATTAATGTATTGGAAGAATATATAGAGAGAGAAAGAAGAGTGAGAGAGAGTGTCTGCAAATTGGAAAGTATGAATTTGAGGAAATTTGAAAGAAGAATCGTGTTAGGGGCCGTTGGGGAATGGGTCCCCAAAAAAAAAAAAAAAAGTGTGAAATGTTTGGCTTCAATAGTTTTGACATATTCTCAATCAAATCAATAATTTTATTTTATTTTTAATCAAACCATTTTATTTTAAACCAAGACCTATCTAGCAATATAAAAATAATAAATATAGGCCCCGTGTGATTCCTATAAATTTAAGAATAAAAATAAAAAATATAGCCATTATGAAATCAACACAAGATATCGAAAGTCAAATATTTAAGTGTAGGGATCACTTATAACAAAATGCTAATGATTAAGGGAACAAAACTATCAAACAAAGAACGTTTTATGAAGAAAAGTACAATATAATTAGCGCCCAATTGTTTCCTGTGAGATCGTCGTTTCTTCATGTGAAGCACCCTTCGACTATGTATTCGAATTATAATTAAATCCTGTACGTTGTTGAAATAGGCTAACTTATGCCCTTAGCCTAGAGCATCTTCCAATCTTAACATTCATGAAATTCAATCTTGTTTATCTATAATGATTATACTATTTTATTTTCTTTATGAAGTTTGTCTTCAAATCTTTTATATAGAGATATTGAAAACCCCAATGTAATGAACTAACTTTTAATTTGAAAATTGCGTTCCCATTATTTCAACCATCTATCTTTGAAGTAAGAAGCAATTCATCTTTTAAGAAAGAACTCTGAGTCAGTCAAAGTGTTAGAAAGTGAAGCTCTCAACTTTAGTTAAAGAAACACTGACTTTGATTGTGAGTTCATTAATCTTTGCTCGATTTTACTTTTATGCCTTGGTAATTTGTATTCAGCTAGCTAAAATCTGTTTAAATCTTGTTCTTGTGTTCGAATGTCACCTTCCCCATTGGTGCTTTCAAATTTGGCCTGCAATTTTGTTATGTTCTTACAAATCCAAGATATTTCTTGCTGCAAAGTAGTCAAATTTACTTTCCCCCTCTTTTTAAAATTTGAATTGCTTACTCCTTTCTGCCAAAGTTCAGGCTGGTCAAAGCCTTCTACAGTAGCTGAATATTACCTTTCTGGGTATAGTTCTGGAAAATTTCAAAATCTGTTTCCCTCCTAGAGCAGATTTTTATTTACCCAGATTTTTTTAGATTTATATTTACCCGATTTCTTTACTCCCTTGTCACTCAATACTGTGTGTTTCAAGCTGTGATTCTAACTGTGGATCGAGTTTGCTCAGTTTTGCTCAAGTATTTCAACTTGGGGTCACATTTCTGCCTCCTCGCCTAGGTTTCTTCTTCTTGCAGACGATTCAGTGTAGTTCTGGCCAACTGTTCTTATCTTGTTCCTAGCTGGAAAATCGAATAACTAGAACTCAAGGTTTCCAGTCAAGTGTCAGCTTGTTCCAGCCTGCTCGTTGCAGCTTAACGTGGGAATGCCCCTTCATCCCAAGTCTTGTCCCCTAAAGATGATGCTTAAAATTTGAAAAAGGTTCAGCTCAATGAAAAGGCAGCAGTTTGCAGATCCAGCTAAGGCTCATTTACAACTCCATCCCCATTGCACCAAATTTTTTTGTACAAATTTCCTCCAATCCATTGCACCATTTGACACTAAAATGGTTAAATACATTTTTACCATTCTCTTCCACTTTGCACCCGTTTTTTAAGGGAATATTTGTTCATTTGTTATACAATAAATTTTAATTTTAAATTTAATTATATAATAATAATATTATTATTATCATCATCATTATTAGTATGTGCATTTTTAATAAGGTCCTATTTGGTAGTTATTTTTTTTCAAAATTCTTTTTTTCTCTCTTCTTTTGAATCATACATTCTTTATTAAAATAATATTACACTTAAATAAATAAAAATTCTTATTTTTCAATCACACATTTCATATTAATTTACTATTCTAAAATGCATTTTTATATAAGAATGACTTTCAAACACCCCCAAAATTCTAATCATTTAATTAACTACTATTTCGAGATTCGAAATGTATTACACTCTTTTAGTATTATGATTTAATATTTTCTTAGTTATTGTATTTTTATTAATTGTACTACTTTTTTTAAAATTATTAATGAATTCAATATTTTTGTTAACTAAATGTAATTATTTATTTAATATTTTAAGTAATAAATAAATAATTTTTGAGATAAATAAATTGTTAAGAATCTGAAAAATAAAGAAAATTATTAAACACTATTTATCTGGTGTAACTTTTGATGTAATAAGTTAGAGATGAATTTTTATTTGGTGCAAATTTTGGTATGGGGATGGAGATAGTTTCACAACCCAAATGATTTATCCATCACAAGGTAAAATTGATGGAAACACTTTCTTCTTCAAGTGCTGGAATTCAAGTGTTTCTCCAACACTTGAAGAGCAAGACAGAATTTGAAGAAGAAGACATAGAATCTAAAAAAGAAGCCACAAAATTTGAAGAGGAAGACACGGCATCTGTGGAATCGGCTGCAAAACCTTAGAATGATGTTTTTTGTCCAAGGAAAATAGCCTAATATGTTGAAACCTTCCTAGGTTAATCTCTTCAAGGATAACAGAAAGTAAGATGTAAGTACGAAACTTCAAAGTTTTGATGATCGTCACGACGAAGTCATTTTAGATTAGCAAGACATAGACGACGTCAAAACAGTTTGGGGGTATTGCTTAATAGGATATTTTGCTGGATAGTTTCCAAGTAAAACTACACTAGTTCACAGGCCCGGTCCTGAGGCCAGGCGGATGAGACCTGCGCCTCAGGCCCAAAATCCAAGGGGGCCTGGGCTGCGGGCTGCATACTCTAAAAACGAAAAAAAAAATCCACTAAACCCGATCCACTATCCACACTCAATTTCCCCCAAATGTCAATTGATTCCCGTTTTCCCCCAAATCGGATTGGCAACCGGCAAAATCGAAAACCCTTCCGTCGCCACTCTCGACAATTTACTCGAATCTCCTTGAATCCTTCTTCAGCTTCCAAGTTCAACCTTCAAGGCTTCAACCCTAGGTATCTCTAATGTCTCTCTCGGACTCTCTGTCTCTCTCAACTCTCGGCGATCATAATACAAATGTATACTATACACTATACATATATATTATATACTGATATAATCTACTGTCTACGCTTCGACAGCTCGACTGGAGTCTGGACATCTCCTATTCTCCTTCCGCTTCCGAGTTCAACGGCGTAGCCCTAGCGGTTGAGGTAAGACTCAAATCACTTAATCACCTTATCACCATGTTCATCAGTTCATGTAATGTAATCACTAATCACGTGTATTTATTTACATTTTTTGTATGTATATAAGACTATCTCACTATCAGTATATGTATATAGATAGAATCTGTTTGTATTGACTATTGAGCGTATTTATTTGCTATGATTTATTTACATTTTTTGTGTGTATTTATTTGCTATGATTTATATAACTTTTATTCTTGTTATGGAAAGTATTAATGTATTATATAACTATGCTGGGATGACTTCATAGCAAGTCTTAAACTAATTTAAACCTGCAGATTGTCGTGATGAGCATTCCGCAGTATAGCTGAGTTCTTTTAAGCTATATAACTCCTCCAAGGATAGGTACAAAAATCTGATTTTAATTGAATTCTTAATGCTTGGTGACTTGTCATCTTAATATCCAATTCCTTTAACCTTAAGGCCTCCATCAAGTCTCCTAACCTCTTAGTACTTCATACAGGATAGATAGATATATATCTTATAAGTCACATATGTCTCCAAATATGATAAGGGAAAAGTCAAATTTTGCTGCATCAAGCAACATCCTGCTTTAACACACATCATGCTTGTTAACTTGGTTGTGTGCAATATCTTCTTAAATCTTTAAGCAAGGATATGGCCCTAACCATTTAAGACTCTTTATATACCTCCTAATATCTAACCTTCAAGTTATCCCCAAGTGAAAGAGAAAGCAAAGGAAACAAAGAGAAGTAGAAACAAGAAGCTGAAAACTAAATTTATAGGTGAGTTTTTTAGTTCATGGTTTTGAAGGTTGTTTTCATTGTTTTTGAAGGTGTTACAATCTCTTAAGAATTTGAAATTGCTTGATATTATGTTTCAAGTTTGTTTGGGATGTTATTATGGCAAAAGAGAGAAAATTAGTAGAGGTATATTGAGTGAAATAACTGAGAACGGGAATTGCATAGTTGCTAGATTTTGCCTATTCAATCTTTGATTTTGGATAATTCTTTGAGTATAACTTTTAGTTATTAATATGAATGCTTTTATATTTGTGTTAGAAGTATATAAATGATCATAATAAAAATGCACGATTTGGTGTTAAATAAAAGGGATTGATTTTCAGGTTGTAAATAAATTACTTGTGATTTAATAACATATTTACGTGCGAGTATTATATAAGTGTGGTAAAAGTTTGGGAATTGCGATATGAGATCAAGGGTACAGAAAGTAAGTTGGAACAATAGAAATTGAAAAACAGATTCTGTTCATCTTCAAATTTCATAAAGTTCCACCTTCACTCAACACTTATCACCCTAAAGACAGAAAATTTTGATTTGAATATGCGCTATGACATTAATGATCCAGTTAAATGATGTCTATATTCGTAGAACTTGGAAAATAATGGTAATTATACAGTCGGTTACTTGTAGTGTTAATCTAAAATATTTTGCCATCTAAGGTCTTTTTATGAATAAAATATTTTTGTACCTATCCTTGGAGGAGTTATTTCTCATCCTCCCTTCTTTCCTGCACTCTCTCATCCTCATCCTTCCTTATTAATGTATTTATCTTACTTAGGGGTGCGTTTGATGTGAAATTTTTGTTTCAGGGTCGGGAGTTGTGAGCTTGTGACAGTGGAATTCTTGAAAGTGTAACTCCAAAGTTTTCGTCAAAATTCTACTTGTCAGGTAAGTAATGGCTTGCCTTAACTTGTTATTGAAGAAATTGAAAATGTTTGAAGCCTTGTCGGCTTATATAATTGTGGCCTGGTCGGCTTATATGATTGACTATTAGAGGATCAACAATTGCACAGGCGCACATAATAACTATATTGAAAACTCTAACTGTGTGATGATTTGAGATATTTTGTATGTGTTTTTTAGGTTAATCATTGAGCATCAGATATAGACTCATACACCATGCCTCCTAAATATGAGTCTGGTGCTCAAAAGAGAAAAAGGAAACGAACTGAGATTTCATTAATTCAAAGTCAAGCAGAGGATATTGGCAAGTACTTTAAAAGCAACAATATGAATACGTTGAATGAGGATGAAGTAGAGATTCAACCTGCATGTGTTAATGAAGTAGATGATAAGGATAAAGAAGTGAGTCAACCTGCCTATGTTGTAGTAGATGATAAGGAAGAAGAGGTGATGAAACATACATGTATTAATGAAGTAGATGACAAGGAAGAAGAGGGATGCTCTTCTCTAAATTTGGATGATCCCGGGAATTGGAAAATTATTGATCAGAGAACAAGGGATTACTTGGTTGAAAGGGGTCCAAAAAGAGTTGATGATATCTCGTTTCCGAAAGATTGTACAAATAGGCATTTTGATTCTTCACAATATAAGCGATTGCTACGAAATGGGCAAACAATTGATAGAAGATGGCTAGTCTATTCAATATCTATGGACAGGATCTTTTGCTTTTGTTGTAAGTTGTTTAAAACAGCCAAAAACGCTACCAGAGTTGGCCAACTTGGTAACGATGGATTCAAAGATTGGTATAATTTGCATCAGTCTATTAAAAGTCATGAAGGAAATGAAGAGCATTTATGTTGCATGACTAGCTGGATTGAATTGGAAAATAGGCTTCGAACAAAAACTACAATTGATAAAAGCGTTGAATTGTTGATCGATGTGGAAAGAGAACATTGGAGGCATGTACTAACAAGGATAATCGCTATTGTAAAAAGACTCGCCAAAAACACCTTGCCATTTCGAGGAAATGATGAGAGGCTAAATGTTGAAAACAATGGTCTGTTTTTACAAATGGTGGAAATGGTTAGTGAATTTGATCCAATAATGAAAGAGCACCTTCGGCAGGCTAATGCAAAAGAGATTCAATACACGTATCTTGGCAAAAAAATTCAAAATGAGTTGATACAGTTGTTAGCTAATGAGGTGAGAAATGCAATTGTCAAGAAAGTTAAACATGCAAAATATTTTGCAGTTATACTTGATTGTACTCCAGATGCAAGTCATGAGGAGCAGATGTCGTTAATAGTACGATTTGTAGATGATTCGGCAAACTTACCTACAGTTGAAGAACATTGGCTTGAATTTTTGAAGGTAGATGACACAACAGGACTTGGACTGACAACCGAGCTTCAAAAAGCTTTGATCAAATTCGATCTGGATATTGATGACATTAGAGGGCAAGGGTATGATAATGGATCTAACATGAGCGGGAAGTACAAAGGTGTGCAAAGAAGAGTACTTGAAATGAATCCCCGAGCTTTCTATACTCCATGTGGCGCTCATAGTCTAAATCTAGCGTTATGTGATATGGTGAATTGTTGTTCCAAAGCTGTATCGTTCTTTGGAGTGATACATCGCATCTACACTTTGTTTTCATCTTCTACCAAGCGATGGCAAATTTTTAAAGATAATGTAAAAGGGTTGACAGTAAAGCCGTTGTCACAAACACGTTGGGAAAGTCATGTTGAGAGTGTGAAGCCTATAATGGAGCAAACTGCACAGATAAGAGAAGCATTACTTGATTTGGTAGAAACTAACTAAGATCCTAAAGTAAAGAGTGAAGCCGAGTCGTTGGCAACACATGAACTTCAGGATTTTGAGTTCTTGCTTGGCATGATAATCTGGTATAGGTTGTTGCATGCAGTCAATATTGTGAGTAAATTTCTTCAAACTGAATCCATGGACATTGATCATGCTATCGACCTATTGCAAGGACTTGTTTCATTTCTTGAAGATTATAGAGAAATTGGATTTGTCATTGCTAAAGATGAAGCGACAAAAAAGGCAAATGAAATGGGAATTGAAGTTGTATTTACAAAAAAACGCATAATTCGAAGAAAAAAATAATTTGATGAAAACTGTAATAATGAGGTAAAGCAATCAGCAGAAGAATCATTTAGAGTTGAGTACTTTGTTTTTATAATTGATCAAGCTCTATCTTCTCTGAGGACTCGATTTGAACAATTCAAACTATATGATGATATATTTGGATTTTTGTTTAATTTGAAGAGGTTAAGGAGTGCAACTTTGTCAAGTTTGTTGAACTCTTGTATGAATCTTGAGAAATATCTTGAACATGATGGGCTTTCGGATATCAGTGGAGATGATTTATGTTTGGAATTACAAGTCTTGAAGATTTATTTACCAAATGAAGCAACAAGAGCAATTGAAGTGCTACACTATTTGAAGACATTGGATGTTTGTTTTCCAAATGCTTATATTGCTTACAAAATTTTGTTAACCGTACCCGTTACAGTTGCATCTGCGGAAAGAAGTTTCTCGAAATTGAAGTTGATCAAGACTTATCTCCGATCAACTATGTCACAAGAAAGATTAAACGGGTTGGCTATGTTATCAATAGAAAAAGAAATGGTTAAGCAGCTAAGTTATTCAGATTTGATTGACGTTTTTGCCTCTAAAACAGTAAGACGAATAGTATTTAACTAATTGTTTGAAATTTTTGGTTTGATGATTTATAATATAATCGTTTCTATGATATATTTCGTTGTTGTTTTAATGTTAGTTTTTTAAGGTAGCAATAAGTCGCATAATACACCTTTGAATTTTGTCGATGGGGGGTCTAATTTTCATCATTCGCCTCAGGGCCCCTCAAACACAGGACCGGCTCTGCTAGTTCATATGTGTGATTCTTGGGCAATGAAGTACCACTATTTTGTACATGATAATGGTTGGTTGATCTTTATATTTGATGATGAAACTATTGAGAATTTACTTAGCCCCTATTTGGCACCCATTTTTGGTAATGAAAATGGGGGGAATAGTGTTTTGTTGAAAAAATGAATGGTTGAAAAAAAAAAAGAAATTTTTTTGATTTACGTGTAATATTATTTTATGGAAGATTGTGTGCTTGAAAATAGGAGATAGAAAAATAGAATGTAATAGAATGTAATTTAATGGGGATCAAACAGGGGCTTAATCATGCATAGCAGGAAATAAAATAGATTTCAATTCCCATCAAGGATCTTCTTTATTTTTAGGAAAAAAAGTGATAAAGAATTATACCTTTTGATGAATTCCTTGAAAAACACTTCTGATCTGTAATTCACAATTGTCTAGTTTCCAATAAAAATTCACACGGAAAACAAGATTGGGAAAACTAGGGTCTTTCTTTTCTTGTGATGGCAAAAATATGAATTATATTCCCCACAAATTTCCAAACCCTAGCAACATATTACTATAAGTTTAAGCGGACTTGACCCATCTTTTAAACTTAATTCGGTCTAATATTTAATTAATTCAATTAATTAAATTTGGTTCAATCAAAATCAATAAATTAAAATGTTATCACTAATTCACATTCGTCACCCAAGTTGACATCTAGCAATGTGTCGGGAAAATACATGTGACGAGATATGTCATATAGTATGACAAAATCAAACTTGTTCGTTTACTGTGAAACTATAATCACTTTGTTAATATGATCCAATCAATTACGAAATATGTATATGTATCAATCTTAATTATCGATTATATCTTTTATTTCAATATTAAGTAAACGTAAGTCGAAAACTCCATTTCGACTTATAAGTACAAATTGACCAAGGATTTCTCTATCACCTAAACTGAATGAAATGTAAATTACAATTTCTTACTATTTAAGAGTGATAAATTATTTATTGATCATTCACAACTTTCATATGATTCTTGACATACTCGAAAGATGTTGTATTAGCGATTTTTTGGCAGAGCAATATCCAATATCATCAAAGTATGACTATCCTCATGTGGGACACTATGATGATTTCAAGTCGAATGACTAATTCCCCTACTAAATATTAGAGATTAATCACTAACACTTAGATGATTATCCACGTGAAATTTCCCCAATGGGCATCCAATGTTTTGTTCTATAACAAAACATTCATGTGTCCATTTAAGTATCACTACACTTTAACTTGTGAGATTAGCTATTTATTTCACAAATAAAAAATACTACACATGATAGTCCATCCGTGATAACAATATTCATATCTCGCTATTACTTACGATCACGGATGATTTAAGATTTAGTCATATTTTAATTTGTATCTTACAATTACAACTCTTTGTGATTAACATATCACTAAAACTTAAATCTACAGACTTTGCCATTTAATATAAATAGAATAGTATTAACATATTTTACTTATGACCACGAATGATTTAATATTTATTCATATTTTAATTTGTATCTTACAATTACAACTCCTTGTGATTAACATATTACTAAAACTTAAATCTACAGACTCTGCCATTTAATATAAATAGAATAGTAATTTAAATAAATAATAGATCTTGTCAAAATAAATGCATTAACATATAATAGAGGTGTTTATGTCCAAAATTGATTGAATATGGGGCATAACACTTACTAAAGCTGCCAGGTCAAATGTGTCGGATAAGGGTCCTTATTTTGTTTTTGGAAGACCTCTAATGTTGAAAGTCATGCCCAAGTGTTTTGAGTTCGATCATAGCAAGATTAGCTCCTTGCCGATTTGGATTAATTTATCGAGATTACCTTTAGATGGTTGGAACCCAAATGCTTTGGGTAAAACTGTATCTAAAGTTGGTAAGCTAATTTCGACGGATAAACTAACATCAACAAAAGGTAGATTATCTTATGCTCGTGTTCTTGTTGAGGTGGATGCGTCTAAATAATTAGTTCAGTCCGTTCATATGAAATTGCCAAGAGGTAAATCTTGAGAGCAACAAGTTTAGAAGCATGAGCCAAAGTTTTGGCGACACAACACTTGGTTGCAAAGAATAGAAGCGCCAAGTGCTTCTGTTGATAAGGAGACGGCGCAGCACACGAATCCTGGACTGTCGTGGACAAAAATAAGAGGCTAAATGGTAAGGAAAACAGGGAACTATCGGGTCACCAACATAAACCTGTCTCGCAATCAAGGGATGCAAAAATTGAAATACCCATTTTGGATGATGCATAAAGTAAAAAACTTTAAATTAATAATAATAATAATAATAATAATAAATCAAGACTTCTTTAGTCAATTACCATGTTTTGGATGGGTTTTAATTAGCCAATTACCATGTTTTAGTCCTTAAAAAAAAAGTCAAGACTTTACGAATTTGGGGTGTTCTTAATTGAGATTTCAATAGTTTTAAAAAATTCTTCTAAACTCAAGTGTTCCCGGTTGTGATTGTAATGAATTTTAATGAAATCTATTAAAATTTAGGCGCTTCCAACTGAGATGAGATTTTAATGAATTTCAATGAAATTCTTTAAAATTTAGGTATCTTGTACAATTCATGAATTTATAATCACTAACAAAGGAATTATAAAAGATTTGGATGAATTTCAAGCTTAAAAAATATATGTAACATATTATTTTGAAATTTCATCACTTTCAATAAGATTTTTATAAATTTTGTGAAAATTTTTCAAATCAACGAAATTTATTAGAATTTGAAATTTTTAAAATTCATCAAAATCTTAGTCGTAGTGGAATAAATCATAAATTTTCATCCCCCAAAACTGAATTTCCATCCTACCAATTCCCTCTCAGTTCCTACTTCACTGTTCCTACTTCTAGATATGGGATGTTACGAGTGTCCTTAATTTCGTCACGACTCATCAAGATGTTTAAATCTTTTTTGAGATTACTTGACTTCACCGTAATTGTCAATATCCAAAAATATCAATTTATTGAAATGAGAGTGGTGCACCCGTTCTTGTGTAGTGAGTTATATCTTCGGGTGATTTTTGTAGTATGACTTCGAAATGACATGTGATGTGAAAGGTTAAGATCATTTTGTTTAAAGAGGAATAGCTTCTCATCATGTTGCTTTATGGCAGGGACTTTGGGCAAATTAGGGCCCTTCTCTACCACTATCATGTATATTTATATTACTGGTAAATGTCAATTGCATCATGATCCCATCTAGTCCTTCAGTTCACAATCAATGGAAATTGCTTTGCATCTTAAACAAAGCCAGTAATGGTCTCCCATTTTTCCCCCCCAAGACGGTGAGCTATGCATCGTGCAACGGAGAATTGGCCTCCCTAGCAAAGGACTTCTTTGTTGGCAAAACGAAGGGTGCCAAAGGTGCCAGTGATTCTTTGATTCGATCTGTATTTCCAACACCTCGTGAAACTGATCGTGACAAATGGCAACATTTTCCCCCTCTTCCTTATCGGGAGGGCATTCTTACAAGGCTTTCAACTTCTGTCCAGACCGGATTTGCAAAAAAATATGTTTTTGAGTGGGGTGAATCTTGAAAGATTTTTCTTGGTTTTTCATGTGGCTGTGTAATAGTCGGGAAAATGTGCAATTGTAGAGAAAAATTAAGGATCTTTTTTGATTGAGGAAACTGGAGAATCTATTTTGATTGTGGAGTTCCTAAAACTCCAGGAATCCAAAGAGCCGGTGATAAACAGTACAAAAAGAAAGTCAGTTACGCCAAAAAATACATTTTTTTAACTAAAAAAAGAAGCTGAATTTACTTTTGATTTTGTTTGCAACGAATATCACACACTGATACATATTGAAGTTTGGAATAATTAACACTTTCAAAATAAAGAAAATAGTAGGACTGAATACAGCATAAACCTGCCTCTACATATTGCTCGAGAGGATGACCGCTTGTGTAAAAGGGTAGCAAGTTAAAGATACAAGCATAAAGTGACACCAGCTTCCACGGTACAAGGCGTTGATCTTACAATATAAGCAAAAGCGGAAGGGTAAGCTTGTAAATGATCCAAAAAATCGACCAGAGACATGTACGCATTTTCCAGAATGTTGATATACTCGAACGGTCTTAACTGCGGAGATTGGGAATGCACGCTCCACCATCTGGGTTTGTCTGTTCCTTCCATATTCGTCCTGTTACACGAAGCTTAAGCTCTTTCTTGTCTCCTCCTGAGAAAAAAAGTGCCATGTTACTTTGAATAATAAGGCCATCATGGCTGTCTCGAACTTCTATGTGACTATCCCTGATGCTCCGGGGGGTGCCTTCCCATATAAGTTTCCGACCATTTCCACCAACTTCCAAGCTGTAACTATAGTTTCGAGCCTCTATCTCATCTCCCATGAATCGGAGGAAAGCCATGTAAACAGGAGCTGTGCCCAGTTGAAATGCTTCGAAATGAAGACAAAAATACTGACCAAAACAATTGAAAACCTAAAAAGGAAAGACAGTCATTCAGCGGACACAAAATTATTTTCAGAGTAAATTTATTTTCGAGCTTTAGAACACTAATCAAATGCTATACTAGCAGAAACTGAAAGGAAACTAAAAATAACTTTAGTTAAACAGTTTGAATGAAGTCCATTATTCAAATTCATGTCAAAACAGCTCACGCTGTTAGACATATCACTAGCATCCTTTTCCATAATAATGGAGTCAGGATTCGGGTATTTATCAACTGTTGGGACATCCAAAGAGGCACAAGACGTGAGAAATGTGAGACGGGCACATCATCGCAGGTTGGCTGTGGCTAGGCACACAGATGGTCCTTTCTTTTTTATTTATGTTTACATTTTTAATTCTTGCCATTAGATGTGATGATATTATTGGTAGTTTAGGGGTTCAGTTCACAATATCACTGAAGTTTATTTTTAATGTTGTGTGGTTTTAAGAAATCGAGCAATTCGGGTTCTTTGTGTTGGTTGGATTTTTTAAATTTGAATAATCACTATGTTTTGCATTGAATTCTCTATATGCAATTGAAGCAACAAATTTTTGACAGTACTATTCGTTATTCTGCACATTCCGCAGCATCAAGAACTTTTTATAGGTTGCCCGAAAAGTTTGACAAAAATCTCAATTAAATTTCAATGCAAATCTAAAGATAATTGTTTGGTGAACCATTGACTGCTATGAGCCTTAAAAAGAGCATCACTATTAATGTTCTTGAAAGATCATCATTGTTTGAGAGCATTATTTCAAGAACAGAAACAATAGTTAATTGAAATAAAAGGAAATAAAATGTAAATACTCACAGTCAGCATCCAAGTGGCATTCTCTACATCCCGAGGATTTGATTTAACATAGCGGTGATTAAATGTGCTCCCAGTATGCATGTCCACCTTGTGATCATCTTTCAAGTGATCAACCAGGTACTGAATATCCCCGGCAACAGAGCACTCCGATCCAGCATATGGGCAGTTGTAAGGCCTAAAATTACAAACTGCCTCGTGTTTCAACTTACTGTAATAAGGGAAGATTCCAGGGCATCCTAAGGAGCGAAACTTGCAAGGAATTTCAAGTGATTCAGCCACCTTTTCTAGCACTAAACATCTTATATCACCAAGTTCTTGTCTACAAGTAGGACATCGGTTGTGAACCCTTGCTTTACACGTGGAACAGAGTGTATGCCCATTGTGGCACTGCAGTTTAAAAACAGAACATGATGTTAAACGACTCCTGAATCTCATTAATGAAACAAATGCACAACAACAATAATCGAAGCAATGAGCACTTCTTCTTAAGGATTATGCAGTTACTCTGCTAATTCACAAATTGAAAGGAATATGCGCTTTTGTTCCATCCAGAAACTTGGACAGACATCCTCAAAAAAATATTATAGCTAGCCCAAGTCCAAAATGAATGAGAAAATGCGGTATTTCGTGAAAGAGAGACTAAAGGAAAATCTCACCAAAAGTGTGCGATGTATTCTATAAAAAAAAAAATAATAATATATTAATAATAATAAATAAATAAATAATTAAAAAAATTTAGAAGCATTTGGATTTATCATCTCATCAGACAACTGGGAATTTCTTGCATCATCACACCCAAAATCCACATCCACATCCACATCCATGTCCAGTTCTTTTGTTTTTAATCACCAAGCAATTTGACCATCATATATATTCCCAAGTGATCATTTGAATTATCATTTACATTAGCAGAAATGCAATCTCAGGCCTGAGTCCCAAAGCGAATTAAATTTTGAAGAGGAGATAATCTACGTTACAGTGTGTTTGATCTACATTACAGTGTGTTTGAGCTAAACTCATGGGCACGTCGTTCGTTGGGGGCGAGTTCGGGTTCAAGAAAGTACCTCAGGCCTAATGCTACATCCTAAATCTATCTTTCAACAACATTAATTCATGGATAATCGTCCAAGCCTTTTTGAATCTTCAATTATTGTCTTTAATCATAGTCCAAGCTACATACGTATGACTTGCAAAAGTCAAAATTTCGAAAAGATCACTATCTTCAATATCAAACTAACTATTTTCACATCTTACCCGAACCAAAAACGTGAAGATTTCTACATTCATATTGATCTCATGTTTGAAATCAATTCATTCAGCAGCATGCTACTGGATAATCAATCTACTCCAAAATAATTTAGCCATAAGCATTAATGCCCCCTCACCTTCTAAACCTATAAATCAACTCGGCACTTCTACCCATCAAAATCCCCAACAAAAACATCCCAATTACTTCAGTCAGTTGTCCAAAAGATTAATTTCTATGATAAAATACCGAATTTGGCCCAAATCCGCACCTAAAACCAAATCAATATCCACCTCAAAATGCAGAAAATATTATTGCAAGACAAACCAGAAAAGCCCTAATAGCATATCAAACAAGATACACAGAAAATTACAAATTAATTATCCACAACA